AAACCAAACAGCCGAATGAACCGGAAGCTCTATCAAAATACTTTCTAAAAAACACACCAAAAAACCAAGAAAAACAAAACGCACCTCAACACGGAGGGCGACACCCAGGTTTCAGGACCAGCTATTCTTCCTTCTAAGCTGGTGGTTCTCAACCTTCCTCATGCCGCGACCCTTTCATACGGTTCCTCATGTGGTGGTGACCCCCCCAACCATCAAATTATTTTTGTTGCTACTTCATAACTGTCATTTCGCTACTGTCGTCAATCGGGCAACCCCTGTGAGGACCGCTGAGAACCACTGTCCTATTGGACAGCAGGGGTCTAAATCAAAGTGCTCTCAAGGGGACCTTGCTTGATCACAAAGGGTCAAGACTGAGTAATATTCAATTAATGGAAAGGATGCAGAATCACCGTTAGACTATAACCATTAAATAGTGTATAGACACATGATTATTTGTCTCCCAGAAAAACCCATGTGTTTTTAAAGCCCTCCCAGAATGCTTAGGGTTTCATTTCTTGTTTTACATATTCAGACCGGGGTCTTTCCTGTGGCTGCAAATTCAACTACCCTTGCCTTCAGCAATTCACTCCTCTGGTTCAGTGATTGCCGGAAGAGCAAGCCATACTGAAAACATACATACAGGACACCGAATATTAGCACCAAAGAAGGAGGACTCTTCTGAACAGGTTTCTATTGTGCTTTTCTCAAACAACCGAAAGATCAAACTGCACGTAGCCTTGGTGGCACAGTGGTGAAGTCACTCACAGGCTGAAAAGCAAAAGGTTGCCACCGCTCAAACCCACCAGCCACGCTGTGGGAGAGACAGGGCAGCTGCTTCAGTGGAGTGGACAGCCTCGGAAACCTGACGAGGCAGGGCAGCTCTGCCCTCGAAGTGCTGCCATCAGTTGGAACGTACTTGAAAGGCAATGGGCTTTCGCTTTATGTACTTCATCAAAGATGGCCAGATAGTTAATGCTAAATTTATTGTTGCTTTTAATTCTACAAAGAGGGAAAATTGCACCTTCAATATAAATGGAACACCACCTCCTTCCTTCGTACTTACTCCACCATACTTGAAACCCCAGTGTGGTCGATTTTGTAACCCAGAAGCCATTTCATGGTTACTAAGACATTTTGCAAATAACCCTAAATTAACAGTTAAGGAATTAGCCAAGATTTTATCCAGAAGATTCAATGGCATTGAGTGACAAGGTCTAGGCATTTAAAAAATTATCTGCTATTTTTTCATTACCTCAAAGACATTTTTGTACAGCTTAACTACTGTCTGAGACATGAGTCCCAACGTTAGGTTAACTAGAGTGAAGCACCGTGTTAAAATCCTCACAGGGTGACAGTAACATGGCTCAACCGTGGTCTATGTGGTTGGGAATCTGGGAATGAGATGTGGAGTCACTGAACATTTGGCCAGCATTGTGGCTTTTCATAAAGTACGGTGGAACGGAAGATGCAGACCTGGGAGGAAAACAGCCTGTTGGCTTGGGGCCTGGGCATCAGCTCTTCCAGGAGTGTTTTTTCAGACTGTGGTCATGAACTTGACTGCATTGGGGTACCAGATACAAATTGACTAGGCATATAGCTGTGTACACAAGGGTCACTCATTAGCAGAAACAGCCCTACCTTTCTGTACTCTGTATCCACGATAAGAGATTTTAAGGTGAAATATTTACACATTTGTAAAATCTGAGGGTATGCCAAATGGGTCTGAGGTTTACTTAGATCACCTTCAAAAAATAATATTATAGATTAAAGAAAAAAAGAAGAAGAAGAAGACATGAAAGTGATACACAGTAGCAGCAGCAGGGCACCTTCTCAGCCTGGAGCCTCTCCTGTCCCACAATGGGGTGCGAGCGAGGTTCCCCTGAAGTTTGCCAACAACCTCCTCACTCACAAGCCTAATGCTGAAAACCACTCTCAACATCAGGTTATTCTATTTACATAGTAGCTGTATATATCCAGATATTTTATTTAAAACATTAACATAATTCTTCCGACCTTGGGGAGGAAAACACAAACAAGCAATCCACCATTCTGAAGTAGAGGAGCGTTAGTGGAGTGCAGGAGGAAGGAGCTGTGTGTTCTTTGGCACCTCTTAGCAAGCTCGCTAGTAAATCCCAGCTCGGGGCTCGTCGCCCATGAAGGAAGAGCTGCAGGGGAGAAGTAGCTTTCTCAGGATGAATAAAAACAAGTCGAGGGAGAATACTTTGTCCTTTTTTTTTCCTCTTTTTCTGATCGTTGATAGGCAATTTGGTCCATTTCTTCATTGACCAGGGCAGTTCTCCCACAATTAAAAAAAAAAACAACAAAAACCCACAAAACTATACCTTTGGTTACAGCGTTAATTCTTTTGGTATAAGAGCTCTTTGTCTTTGCTCCTCAGGTGGACTTCTCATTATCTTCACCAATCTTCTGAACCCGGGAATACTTCTTGCAGGATGATTTAAAGCAGCCAGGGGGCCAGGACAGGGGCCACGAGAAGCAGCACGGAATCGAGCCTTGTACATTTTTCTCAAAAAAATAAAATATGGGGAACCACCACGTTCGAGACAAGAAGTTAGTCTGGGAGGAGACCTTCAAGTTCTGAAGAAGGGAGGTAAAAATAAAATTAGACAGATCTTTCTTAAGATTCTTATTCTCATCTTTTTTTTTCTTAATTAGTTAGCTGCAAGGCATGTACCAGGAAAGGTAGCCGTCACCAGAGCATATGATTCTTATGAGGTTGCTATGTAGGAGTCTGTGGCAGTGACGTAAACTGTCAACTTGAGTTGGGGGTGGAGTCTATCAGTCTGTCAAACAGGTCTTAGCCAATGAGGCTTCTGTGTGGAAATGGCCTTCTCCTGAGGATTCTGGGAACTCCTGCCTTCCTCCCTAGAGACAGAACACACTCTCTCCCTGAGAGACATTCCTGTTGACAAGCCACATGGAGCTACACTGATGGAGCCAGAGCCCTGGAGCTGGAGGAGCCACATGGAGACCCACATCAGCGCTGGGATGCTCCACCACCACTGGATCCACAAGACTTTCCACCCACTGGCCTGTGATCTTCCTGCATTTGGCATCATTGCATGTGTTGCACGAGGAGGCATTTATAGACTGTTATAGGATATATGGGCTAATATCAGACTTATGGACTTGATCTGGACTGAGATGTGGTGTTTTCTTAATATACAATTACTCTTCTATCTAAAGTTCTTCCCTAATACACACAAGTGTCTGCCTGGATTTGTTTCTCTAGTCTACCCCGCCCAACACAGAGTTGGAATCGACTTGATGAGTTTTTAGAGGCTAACCCAGACTGTGTTGGAAAGTTCATGCTAACCTGCCACACTCCATGTACAAGAGATGACCTGACATGAAATACACTTGCAATCTTATAATTCCTGACTGACCCTTGGTTTGAGCTTAAGGTGGACATTTCAAGGTCACCTAACTTTCAAATTACACCAGTAGAATGGATTGTTTAAAATTGCTAAATTATATTACATAACTGCCTAATGATATCATGACAGAACTGTCAAATCTCACCATTACACAGTTGCCAAACCACTGAATCATGGCCCAGCAAAGCTGACATATAACCTGAAGCATTACAATCAGTGCTACTCTTGCCTGGCACCTCCAGCCTTGTTACTGTTAGACGTACACTGTTAGTATGCAGAATGCAAAACAGTCAGACAGGAGTTTTCTATTCTCATAAATGTGAAATGTAAATTAATGAGCTAGCCAATAAGTGAGGAGTAGATGTAGGGCAGACACGAGAACTGGGTTTAGATCCTTGGGGAACGGTATATCTCAATCACTTGCAAATTCTACAAACATATTTTACAATATGGCAAGGCTATCCAGAGATAAGTAAGTCATGGTGCACACACTAATTTTCTTATTCCAAGGACACACATCAAGCCAAGGGAACCACAGATAAGGGAAGGTATAATCCTCCCCTGGGGCAAAAGCCAGGGGAGCAGGTATTAGGGGAAGCTTGCCAGAAGCCCGTGCACTTGAACCAGCTCTTTAAGAAGCCCTTGGTGACACAGTGGTTGTTCAGTGTTTCAATTTGAACGAAAAGAGTCGCAGTCTCAATAGGAGGTGTGGTGAGGGAGGGAGGGGCTAAAAGCGAGCTGATAGCAAGGAGTTCAAGAAGAAAAAGTTTTGAAACTGGTAGCAATTGTCTAATACTGCTTGATGTGAATGTGAGAGCTATCTGTACGAGCTCCCAATAAAACGACTAAAACAAACAAAAGAGTTGCAGTCTCTGAAACCCATACGGGCAGTTCCACCCTGTCCTATAGGGTGTCACCTGAGTCACAATGGGCTCAATGGCGACGAGGCTTTTTGTTTTTTCAAGAATGGGGCAAGAAAGAAACGGGCACCTGGGCACCAAAAGGCAGCAGCATCAAATCAGGAAAGTTACGAGGAACTTAAAGCTGGAACACACGATAACACCAAAAGATGCCAACAAACCCAGCAACTCACAAAAGCTACTGACTCTGCGGGTTTATCTTCTCCTAACCGCGCTCACTCTCCTCTACAAAATGAATTAAGTTTCTTGAGGGAAGGGAATATCATCCCTAGCTTTGCCACGGTGTTTCTATGGAGAAAGTGCCGGCATTTTCATCTAGCAAAGATCCTTCTTAATCCTCGTGCAACTTTATCAGAATTCAGCAGCATTTTCATCCTTGTGGCACCAACAATTATGAAGTGAATTGTCCCAAACCACACACTTGGGCGGCGACCACAGGGAACCGCTCCAAGGCCCCATCATCTGAGATGGGGTTGACTGCACATTCAAAGACAAGAATCAGCCCCTGCCCAGCCCCCGGCTTCTCACCTTCTCATTGGCCATTGAGTGGTACCACCAGAAGAGCCGACTCGTGATGTAGTAAGCGATGATCACATCGATGGTGTAGTGTTCGTGTGCGACGAGGATGCACACGATCCCAGCAGCACTCAGCAGCCAACAGATCAAATGGTACCACCAGAAGTGCCGAGGCGAATCTGCACAAGGGAAGCATTGCAGGGTTAACAAGACTCTCTCGGAGATGACGCTTGTGATGACAGTCTGTCCTAATGCACCGGAGAAGAGGAATCTGCAGTCAGGCCATCGCTGGATGGGAAAATTGGTCTGGTCGGCAAATATACCCCTCAGGGCTCATTCTTCCAAGAAGGGGAAGAGCTGGAAGCAGGCTACGGTCATCAGTGGGTGGTCACAGCACTCGATGCTCTGGGTCTTTCAAGGAAGAGAACAGAACTGCTATTGATTAGGTTGGCTGCAATCGACTCAAGCTGGTTCACCTACGAACCACCGCTGGGAAGGGAAACAGTACGGACTAAAAGCAAGGTAGTTATCTATGAAAAGAAGAGGGGAAAATGAGCAGGTGTTATTTCATCCCTTACAGAAATGTACTTTTACTTCTCCTGGGTGTAAGGAAAGGATGGCATGTGTGGCGAGCCAAATTATGGTTCCTGGCAATTTTGCTGCTACTTTACATACGGACTAAAAAGCACTCCCTATGAAAAGCTTAAAGGCGGCAGCTTTAGAAAATGTTTTTTCCCATAATTATATTTATTAAAATCTTCTATTTTTCCTAGCATATTCTGTGCCACATAGACATTTGTAAATATATAAATCAAAAGAAAGATTCGGTTTGTTGTTGTTTTTTACATTCCCACCAATACATCTCTTATAGGTTTTTTTACTTTTTTAATTGTGCTTTTTTAAAAAATCATAGGTGGCAGCTTTTTAAAACTTAAAGAAGATGGCTCCTTTTTTTTTTTTAAATAAGCACTTCACCCACGTTTCAGAGTTCGGTAATTCAATGACGAAGAGGGTTTCTTTAAGCTTTACAGCGTTACACACTACCAACAGAAAGAGGTGAAAGAGGGCTGTCTGCTTCCTTGGAAACCCCATGGGGCAGTTCTACCACATTCTGTGAGACCGCCATGGGCAGCCTATAGGAACTGATTCAACGGCTCTGAACGACTGCATGTAGAGCGGCAGTCTCTAGAGCAGTGGTTCTCAACCTTCCTAATGCCACGACCCTTTAATACAGTTCCTCAACCATAAAATTATTTCTGTTACTACTTCATCACTGTAATTTTGCTACTGTTATGAATCTGGCGACTCCTGTGAAAGGGCGGTTTGACACCCAAAGGGGTTGTGACCCACACGGTTGAGGATCGCTTCTCTAGAGGGTGCACACTGTTGATGAACTAACCCAAAGGTTGGAATCTGAGTTCACGCTGAAGCGCCGGGGCACACAGGCCGGCTGATCTTCAGGAAGATCAGCCATGGGAAGCTGATGGCTTGCATGACAGCTCTGTAAGAGTTGGGATTCCTGTCTATTCACCTAGAGATTTTAGCCTCAGTGAAGACACTAACAACTTCGTTATACTGATTAGCGGTAAGAGAACTGGAAGACTCCCGGTTAACCAAATGGAATCACTTCTTTTATTTATCTTAAGACTTCGCAGGGAACCTTGGTGGCACCGTGGTTAAAAGTTGGGCCGAGATCTGCAAGGTTAGCACTCCCCACTCCTGGTACTTGCAAACCCACAAGGGCAGTTCTACGCAGGAGGAACATCGAGTGGTTCGCAAAGTGGGTAGTACCACCCCTGGGGGCTGGGCTGGGGTGGGGTGGGGGGTATTGCTGGCAAGATCCAGGAGAGCTGCAAAAGATGGATTAGGGGGCTACAGAGCCAAAGTGTTTAATTGCCTGGGGGGTGGGGGGCTGTGCAGTGCTAAGCAATGATAATAAACTGAAATGTATTTCCTTAATGGCTGAATAGCATGCTAGAGAGAATACCAAATGCAGGATCAATAAGGTATTCAAATGTAAAGTTTTTGGGTTTTTTTTTTCCCTCCTGATTTACTTTTGCTCTTTGGGGCACAAGTGAAATAGCAAAATAAAATAAGTAATGAATGATTAAACCCAAATTTGCATTTGAAAGTCAGGTTTTCCGGTTTTGAATTTATTCATCAACACTTCTCAGTTGCTTCATCCTGAGACTAAATCCTGGCAGATAAAGTGCTGGCAGGGAACTCAGACTCTCAGCATTTAATGCAGGGAGAGACCTTAATCTGGCCTGAAGGCCCAGCTCCAGCCCTTTGACTGTTCTGATGGTTCACACTGTTAAATCTGACCCAGAAATTTAGACGTTTCTGTAAAAATCCGGATTTCTGACTTCTCTGCAAAAACAGAAACAAGGGCGCCGTATTTCTGTTTGGCTACCACAGTCGGCAAGAGCATAGTAGCAGCATTTCTCTAGAGGCAATACGAAGACTTCCGATCCGACCCTCTGGAAAGCCTCATACTACCCCTGCTTCCCTTTCTCCATGGCTCAGTTGGCACCTCAAACCTTCAGAACAGCTGTTATTTTGCCTACATTCATGCACAACAAAAGGAACCCTGGTGGAGTAGCGGTTATGTGTTGGCCTGCTAACTACAAGGTCAGCGATTCAAAACCTCCGGAGAAAGATGGGGCTTGCTGCTTTAGTAGATCGTCCCAGAAACACACAGAGGCAGTTCTGCCCTGTTCTGTATCGCCTGGAGTTGGCATTGACTCAGTGGCAGTGAGATTGGTTTTCTCGTCTCCTAGCAGTATTGCTGGTGGCTACAAAAGACGGTGACAATAAACATTAATGGATGGTCTCTATCAGTGTGGGACCCTTGTCCTGAATAACAGACCAGGGATTTTGTGTGGCGGCAAGTTTAACAAAAGAAAGGGGGGGCTGTGTGTCTTAATTAGTGAAACCTTTCATATTAACAGCTAGCTAGACTGATTTCTTCAAACTAACTTTGTAAGGAATCTTGGCCCCTGTTACACTATTTAGACAGTTGAATAAAATCCTCTCCTACAGACCTCCAATGTGCCCTTAGTCGCAAGTTGTCATCTGTTCTTACAACTAAATAAATCTACACGACAAGGAAGAGTATATCTACACGAATGATACATACACCTAACTCTAGAAATCAGCTCTTCAAAGACACCGCCGAAGCATCTGCTGACTCAGACCAACCGCATATGGTATAGTGTAGAAAGTGACTGTTCCCTGACGCACAGAAAACAGGCATCAACATGGCAAGCCCTGTTTATGGACAGAACTGACTAAAGTTGAGTTTCTGTTAAACATTGCGGATTTGCATTTTATTTCTCACCAAACATTGGAAAGAACAGAATGGAATTCCTTCGATGCTACGTGGCGGTCTACCAAATGCTGCTGCTACCCACGATGTGGCTTTTAGTAAGGGGTGAAATGACCGCATGTCATCTGACTTGCTGTCAGGTAGAAGGAAGAAGAAAAACTAGCACTAAACTCTGCTTCTGGGAGGGTGGACTCTTCCTTGGTGAGTCTTTAAGACCAGACCATTTGGGGGTTTCCAAAGGCCAGAGAGAAACTAAGGATGTGATATCTGGAGTTAGCTTGCTTGACTTTAAATACCCAGATCCTTGACTAAGTCACTTGCGAAGCCGCTTTCTCTCAGCTTCAGTGTCCTCGTCGGAAAAAGCGGGCTATAAAACAGTGCGTCTTTAGAGGATGTGGCTAAGATTGAATGCGTTCACTCCTTGGGTCCACACAGTGTGAGTCAAGAGTCCCTGGGTGGTAGGAACAGTTAAGCACTTGACTATTAACTAAAAGGTTGGTGGTTCAAACCTGTGTGGAGGCGCCTCAGAAAACAGGCCTGGTGATCTGAATGCTTCCACAAGGTCCCAGCCCTGAAGACCCAGATGCACACTTCGACCTAATACTTGGGGTCTCCAGGAGTTAGAACTGACGTGACGATAGCAGTCACCAACAACAATATATTATTGTTAATGTTATGTGGTCTTAAAAGTGATCTTCGGTTACATAGGGTTTTTTGTTTGCTTCATTGCCACATGGTTTTCAATCCACCATAGCTTTGCTCTCGTGTGTAGTGCTCCTCCTCCCCTCAGGCTCAGCCACTCTCCTGAGCTGTTCCTGACCCTCAAATTAGAGGGAAGAGCCTGCAACTCAAAGGCACTTTCCACCGCAGTGGAACGTAATTTTATTTTACATACAGATTGGTGCTTTCTGAATAAACGCCAGATCCAATCAAAACTCACTGCGACCAAGTCAATTCTGACTCATTGTGACCCTATAGGACAGAGAACTGCCCTGTAGTATTTCCTAGACTTTAATCATTGTAGAAGTAGGAAGAAGAAGAAGAAGGAGGAGGAGGAGGGGAGGAGGAGGAGGAGGAGAAGGAGAAGACAATGACTTAGAAGAAGAAGTACCACTACTAGTACTACTTCTAGAAGCAGAAGAAGATTGCAGATCTTTGGGCCCTGGAATGGCTAGTGGGTTTGAACCACCGACATTTGAATTAGCAGCGGAGCTCCTACACACGTGCTCCTTCATCTACGATAAACAAACACTCCCATTAGATCGATTCTGACTCATAATGCCTCTACAATAAGGTGACCAGATTTTAACATTGGTAAAGTGGGACACCATTGATAAAACTCATATCCTGGTGAAATAGCCACATGGCAGCCGAAAACCATATACCCTAGCTTGTCGTGCATTCTTTCCAAAAATCAGGACTTTTCTAAAATGCCGCAGGATGTGGGAAACATTGTTAAAAATCAGGACATCTGGTCCCCTTACTCTACAAGGGAGAGCAGAACTGTCCCTTTCATTTCCAAGACTTTACATCTTTACGGGAGCAAGCAGAAAACTCTTACACGGATCACTGATGGGTTTAAACTGCCCGACATGCAAACATATGCCACCTGGATCTTTCTCATCCGTGTAGGAATCTCAAATCTTTGTCTTACTATCTTGAGAACAGAGAACTAAACCTACAACTCTAAGCAATCTATGGGCAAAGATTCACTTCTGGGCTGCTGGGAGACAAGGCTCATGTCCACCATACCATTAGGTCAGGTTAAACCTGCTTAGGCTGCGGAAGGGTTGAAGGAGGAGGGAGGAGGTTCAGTGATATGAGAGGGGACATCTCTTTCTTCCTTTGAAATTTGTTAAGTAAAGAGCATTGTGACACACATCTTAAACACAGGCTTGGGTTACTGGAACTAGTTCTATGCCTTTGGGCGGGGGTGAGGGAGGGGGAAATGAAGGAAGTAGTATACTACTTCAAAAGCTTTTGAGATAATGGTCTTAATGGCATAGTAGCTACACGGTGGGCTGCTAACTGCCAAGGTCCGAAATTAAACTACTGGCTCCTCCCAGGAAGACAGACGAGGCTCTCTACTCCCATAAAGAGTTACCGTCTTGGAAACCCACATGGGCATTTCTACCCTGTCCTATACAGAACCGACTCTATGGCACTTGAGTTTGTTTTATTTGGATTTGGGGCTGACATATACAAAACAATCTCAAAAATCAACGAAAACAGGATTTTCTAGGCAGCTAAAACCCTGTAACCCAAACCAGCCCAAAGCTGTTGAATCAGTTAAAATCCATGGTGGTTCCATACAACCCTGTAACAGACAGGGCATTATCTGTCCATACAAAACTCAGAACAGAAAAAGGACTTCATATAATGGGAACTAGACAAATAAAATGGGATGTTTCACAGTCTTGCCTTTTTGTTTACAGGGAGAAAGACAATCTCTTAAGAAGAAAATCATTAGTGTTGGCAGAAAGGCCCACCAGTCTGTCTACTAAAGTACAGGCAGTACTTCAAAATCACACAGTTGGGATAAAGTGGGACAAAGATCAGTATATCATTGACGGAATTATCTGGGATGACAGAATGGAAGTGTCGGACAGATCACTCAAAAACCCTGCCCTTTGGGCTAGGACCCCGGTTCCTTTTTCAATAAATAACAATTAGGTTCTTTTGGTTCTAATATTAGAACAGCTTTTCACTGTGGCATGATGCGAAATGCTAGATAAAAGTCAGGGTAATCAGGGTTTCGCTGTTCTGTTTTTGCTCAATTAATTTTTGAAACTGTGCTGTGGGTAAAAGTTTACAGAGCTGGTTTTTCCAATCAGCAATTCATGCACATTTTGTTTCCTGACATAATTTGCAATCCCCTCCTAGTAGCAGGACTCTTCCCACTTCTTCCCTGGGATCCTCATGTCCATGGCTCATTCTTTCCTGCACTGGGAACGTTGTTTGGATGGGCAAATGCTGCCTTTTGGGGAGAACACAGTTGATTATTCCGAGGAGCATGAGCCTCAGGAGTATAACATTGTCTGCTTTTGAGGTTCGTCTCCTGCTTGGCTGGAAAGGGCTTCCTTGGGGTGTGCTCAGGGCCAGGTCTGCAGGATGTTTAAAGGTCATAGGTCTTGAGGGGTACCACCAGTCTCTGTCAGAGGAGGGTAAGGTTTTACGCCTTCAGTGTTCAAATCACTTCTGTATGAACAGATCATTCATAGCTATCAATACCAATAAGCTAAGGAAGCCCATTAGTTTCTGGGCCTGGGTTCCCCTCCCACTATAGCAATCAATCAGTCATGTGGGAATGAGCTCTTACTTACATTCTTTGATGAACAAGTAGGTTAGTGTCAGCACAACGGTGTGACCGCTGAAGAGGAAGTCTCCGCACAGGATATGTGATCCAGTTATGGACAGGCCTCCGCCAGAGATCAACTGGAGAATCCGCTCTACTTTGGCCTGAGAGTTTCCGTTGAGCTGAAAGACGTGTGAAGAGCAGGAAGGGCATTTACCAACTGACATAAAAGAGGTCTGCGCCTGGTTGGAGTGACATCTAGAAAGCACACCTGGTTGTCGCTTTGTTTTTTTATTTTCAATCTAAAGACTCAAAAAGAATCCAAGGGAGAAGTTCCTCAGATTGAGTTTTAGCCATCGTGTTGGTGAGTTTTATGGACATGCTTTGCATTATTCAGTGTGTTCCTAGGAATATGTTTTGGTGGTGCTGTGTCCTTGAACAAAGCTTTCACAAATAGTGAGAAGCAATGACTTCACCACAGGCCTGAGCTACAAGACAGGGCCAAGCTCCCTTTTCTCCTTTTTTGCAGAGGGGAAGTCAGGGTTTGGGACAGTTTATATTTAATTCCACTGCACACCACATGCCTGACATTCTACAGCTTACGGGTTCCTTGCGTTACGTGGAAAACTTAAAGGGTGTTCCTAACTTTATAAATGGCTGATTAACATGTACAGTGTAACCGAGTGCTTTCATAGGAAAACCGCCCCCAAAGAAATAACCTGGGTGCTGTGGCAGAGACTCGGGGAGGCACATGCCTGCACAAGAGTGTGGAGGCTCCTAGAATCTACCGCGATGAGAGGAGAGTTGGCCTCTCACGGGAAACTCTGATGGGCGCAGGCCTGGAGTTTGAGACAATGGTCAAGGATTTGTCTTCTGTTAGAATGCATGCATATGGGGATGAGCAGTAGACTGAATTTTTCCAAACGGTGGGCACGGGAAACTGGGATTCTGCAGTGTTGGTGAGCCGGAGGGAGGGGCTAAGATCAGTTAGTACAAGGGACCAGACCTCAGAAAAATCAAAGAACGACAACACAGACAGACAACAGTTGCAGGTGTTACTAAGTAGATTGTGACCCCACATTTGCCTACAGGGTTTTCTGAGCTGCAATACGTGCATTTATAGAAACAAAGACCGGTGGTAATCCCGAGGAGCCTCTGGGTGAGTGCAGACCACCTTTCAGTTACCAGCTGTGTGCTTTTAACCACTGTCCCATCAGGGCTCCTTAGAAAGACTATTAGAGACTATTCAATTGGGACCAGAGGGACAAGTATATATCATGCTGCACCAAAACAGCCTACATATTTTACCAAGAATAAAAACCACCTACGCCAGTCCACTGCCATCGAGTCCCTTCCAACTCCCAGAGATCCGAGAGAGGATTCTCAGGACCGTAAGCCTGCATGGGAGAGCACGGCTCCTCCTCTTCTTGCTGGGTTCACTCTCCCACCAACTAACCCACCACCCCTCTAGGGCTCCTTGACCCCAAACAGGTAGTCTTTAAACCAAAACCTGACAAGCACTCGGAGTTCCTGCCTTGAAAGGGCAGCGTCTCAAAGGCACAAAGGATCGATCCCCTAACAAGGCAAGAGGACTGTTGACAGAGAGGTAGCACGCAGCACTCGAGTCTGGTGCATCTCAGGGTGAAGATGTTTTACAAAGGATTTATTAGCTCAGACACGGCCCTCAAGAATTTCTAGTCCTGAGGTTGGTGTGAACCACTGTCAACAACAAGATCAAATACAAAACCACCTCCACTCTGACCTGGCCATGGTGTTCTCAGATTTAAAAGGACCCATGCGGGGAGGAGATGAGCCAGTCAGGGTGCGATGTAACAGTGATGAGAAATACAACCTTCCTCTAGTTCCTAAAGGTTTCCTCCCCGCTCCCACTACCATGACTCGAATTCTATCTTGCAAGACT